ATAGAATCCAAAAATTCAAGTCTTAACCTTAGGAATTTAACAATTCAGAAGTTATACATATGTAAAATTGAGCGTTTTCAGTGTATTTAACACGTTACTTTGACTCCATATTGACTTCTATCTATAATTCGTCCAATGAGTGGAGTTGCTGGCTGTAAATAAATGCCATAGGTATATGTCCATGATAAATGTACATAGGTGGCTACCATTTTACGGCGGGGTTTTGCGGGATTTTGGATCCTAAGTATTGGATTAGGTTTGAACTGTTTTAAAGATATCTTTTATTGCGTTCCTTTACTTCTATAGAAGCTTATAGAGGTGTAGTAGAAGTTTAGTTCAATGCCAATCTGTACGGAGCACGGTTATGTAAAGAGATCTTGGCGCTCGTACACCGTAAACATAGAAAAACATATGGTTGACTCGTGAAAAATCAATATGAAAGACAAGAAAAATCATAATCTGCGCATGCGTAATATGCTATGAATATTTCACAGAGCAGGGGCACTTTACTCATCTGTATCTGTCTTCTTATAGAACGAGAACCGTCTGGTCTTCCGTGTTAATTTTTCACGACTCGATTTTCGGACGATTTCCTTTGACGAGTGTCGAGACCTGTTTACATAATTATGGATCGTGGCGTCGAGACCTGTTTATACGATCATGGAGCGGAGTGCGGACCAATCAGATGATTGATAGAAGCTAATAGAAGCAATATGACGTCATACTATCCTGTAAAATAAGTTAAAACGCTTGGTTTTACTAGAGAGAATTTCCCCTCTGGTGTTACATATTCATGACTCTTAAATCGCTGGATTCTTAAAGTTAAGACTGATATTTTTTTGATCCTACGTGTCGAAAACCATTAAATGACAAAAAAAAAAAAAGCAAAAAGTAAATGATTTCATGTCCACTGAAATAAAGTATAATCTATTTAATAAAAAGATACAAACTTTTTATGCGACAAACGTTCTTAGCATCTTCAGATAATAGTGATTTTATTTTAAACTTCTAATTATCTCTTCTCTGTAAAATTATCTCTTTTTGGAACACGCGAAATATATTAATCTATATATATGCGTCTAATATGGCAACAATTACGATGTCTACAATTATAATTATCTTCTCTTTGAAAAGCATATAATGATGTCTGGCACATTCTGTCATAAGATATGATCTTGGATAATGGAAATGCATCATCTCACAAGATCACACATTCAGATGATACATTTAATACATATCCTTTGAGAGCTGTCTTCAAATTAGAATTATCAAAAATTGCATCTTCTGGTTAAGTCCCATGACATCCAACATCTATCACTGTGAAACAATAATTGTGATCAACTAATCCCAGAACTACATTAGTGTAGTTGCGATTGGCAGGCACTAAATGACAACATGTTTTCCATCTAAAGCTCCTATGCAGTTTGGTTAGTTTTACCTTGCATGAAATGCTTTTGCAATGTCCAAATTCAATCATTTATATTTTTGTATACCTGAAACAATGAAATATCTTGCTTCAGGAACTAGGATTGTTACATGAGTACATATGAATGACAATTGTTCAACAAGGAAAGATGGTACTGCTTTTGAAACACATGCAAGACCAACACCCGCGAAAATAAAGAAAAGAGAGAAAGATAACTAATTTTAATAAACAACAGGCCACATCGATTGACAATGATGTTAAAGCATTAGAGGGTATTTTCAATAATCGGGAATCTGATGAATTTGGGACGTTTGGAAATTCCATTGCAATGCAACTGCAAACATTGCCAAACGAGGTGACAATTAAATTATAACAAGATGTACAAACTTCAATTATGTGAACGCGCTTAAATTATATACAATCGTTGTCTCCATCTGCCTCTGCCTGTAGCATTACCCCATCACTTTGAAGAAAACAACATAGAAGACACAGATACACAAAAACAAACATCAAACATTCGAAATCTCTTTTCATTTTAATTGATTACCTTGTAAATTTAAAAAATTTCTATTATGTATGTGATAGTGTCTAAAAAACTGAAATTAAATAATTATTGTAATCCAGTGGTTTTCAATGACTGCTTAAAAATGTTGACGAAATCGTAAGATTGGATATAAATGTAAGTATATATATACCTATATATTATAAACATAAAGAAATTGAAGAAACTTTGAGGGTCTTCCAAAGCAAGTTCTTTCAACAGAGCGTTGTTTGCTTCTAACACATTCCCTTTATCAATCCTACTTTATGTTCAAACTTTCTTTTTACATATTCTTCTAGTTATTTAAAGTTCACAATTTATTATTTCAAAGACAATCCGAATACTTGCTGCAGCCACTTTGTCACACGCCGTATTTAAATCTAAGATAAATAAGCTTCGAAACAAATAACTGTATCTTGATAATTAATCGCGAATTAAGGAAACTTTAAACTGTTACCATGCTTGCATTTTGGACACAGAGCTCAAGAGTTTACTATCGTTAAGTATTGAGTGTATCACATAGCAGAGCGAGGTATTTATGCTTTGGCATAATGTTCTTTTCTATTGAAACAGATGTAAATATGCAAATTAGAGAGTGATTATAGTTACCGTTAATACATAATTTTGACATTTAGTCAATATTTCATTACAATTCTGTCTGTTCGTTGCTTCAGTAACAACACTTTATAATCTGAATTCGGCGCGGATTAGTTCACGCGCAGTGTTCAATAGAGGGAGTATGCTACAGCGCACAATGTCATGACAACGATAATCAACTGTTGCGACATTAAAAGTCATGACTTTTAATGCAGCGTGTAAACGTACCTTTAATGCTTCGTCTTAAATAATTTGAGACATATTATAATTTTACTATTAAACAATTTATCAATCAGCAATGTATTATTATTTCATTAAATTTTGGAATAAAATATCACAATCCTCTTTCTTTAAAATTTTCTAATATATCTAGAGTACGATAATTCAGTTTAGAGTTTAAATTAAGTTGAAAGTGAATTGGCTTTTGTGAGCAATTTCAAGCGACTATTTGAGTTTACTGAAAACTTCATATATGGGCAACGGAGATTTAGAATTTTGTCAATATTATCTTACAATATCATCATGTTATTAATAAGGTATTGTGTGAATTGTTGTTAATGATCTTACAATAAAAATATTTCCGAAGAAATTTAATTTTATTTACTAGTTTACTTGTATTTATCTGCTGTAAATTCACTGCATAACCTTTAATCCTTAATAACTAATATTATCCTAGTGTATAAAATAAACATATATCAACTTTTTTTACAGAATACACATCTGTCATTTATTAGGATTCATCTGAATATGTATTATGTTCAACTGCATATACTGCCACGATTGCAGACTTAATATTATTTATTAGTTGTCTATTGAATTATGGCTGTACGTCGAGGAAACAGAAACTTGAAATTGCAGGTCTCTGAAGAGACACCTGTGCCTGTGTACGTAGTATCATTATTTTGTTAATCTATTATTATAATAGCAATTTATTTTTATCAACAGTATATAAATGTATTCTTATGAATAAATGTGAGAAACGTATATCCAAGTGAAAAATATATCATAATATGTCAATACTGTTCTGCATTTTAATAAATTACTTTTTTTTTGATAATTGTCCAACTTTCAGTAATATTATGAAGTTGATAATAACTTTTATACATTATAGCACTCCGCCAAGAAATTTGGATAAAAGAACAACAATAACCATAGGTGATAAAACATTTGTAGTAGAGGCAGATGATTTAGAAACAATCTGTATCCTTGGACGAGGAGCATATGGTATTGTGGATAAAGTACGACACAAACAAAGTGGCACTATTATGGCAGTTAAGGTATAACGTATTCTTATGAAGAAATCATATTACTATATTTCTTATGTGTTTGCAATTAAATTGTTTTATGTATTATTATAGAGAATAACTGCAACAGTTAATACACAGGAACAAAAGCGTTTACTTATGGACTTAGATATTTCCATGCGTAGTTCAGCATGTCAATATACAGTACAATTTTATGGAGCATTGTTTAGGGAAGGAGATGTTTGGATATGTATGGAAGTTATGGATATGAGTTTGGACAAATTTTATACGAAAGTGTATAAGCATGGTCGTGCCATTCCTGAAGATATTTTAGGGAAAATTGCTTTTGCAGTAAGGAGAAACTGAATGACTATAACAAAAAACTTACTGTTTATTATAACATCAATCGTAATTATAATTTTAAAAATGTTTACAGGTAGTAAGCGCATTACATTATCTGTATTCACAGTTACGGGTGATCCACAGAGATGTGAAACCTAGTAATATTTTAATTAATCGAAAAGGAGAGGTCAAGATCTGCGACTTTGGTATATCTGGTTATCTTGTGGATTCTGTTGCTAAGACTATTGATGCCGGTTGTAAACCATATATGGCTGTACGTAACTTTCTAAGATAGATTATAACATCTCTAATCCTGTCTATTCAATAAATTCTCCATTGTAACCTTTTTTTTAGCCAGAAAGGATAGACCCGTCGGGTAACCCTTCACAATATGACATCAGATCTGATGTTTGGTCGTTAGGTATATCTCTTGTTGAACTAGCGACAGGAAAATTTCCCTATGAATCTTGGGGAACACCTTTTGAACAATTAAAACAAGTTGTAAAGGATGAAGCACCAAAGCTGCCAGCTGATAAATTTTCGGCCAATTTTGAAGAATTTATCAATAAATGGTAAATCCAATTGTTCGTAATGTTATTTTAAATCCATTATATACAGTTCAATTAATAATTGTTTTTTCAGTTTAATGAAAGATTATACTGCCCGTCCAAATTATAATCAATTACTGAAACTTGATTTTATCACAGAGCATGCCAAAAAGGACATAAATGTTGCTGAATTTGTTGGAGAAATTTTAGACCTACCTGAAGTTGAGTAATCAGCATAGTATATAAATATTTTTGACATGGTGTGTTACATGATCTTTAATGTAACTTCGTATTATGTATCGAAGTTATATAATCAGTTCTCTATATCTTCATCAGCCATATTATTCACTCATACATACGCACGCTACAAGTAAATTAAAGTATAGTGTAAAACATAATATGTGTAACTTTTGTCTAAAAATCTATGTCTTCAGACAGTTCACTTTCTTGTTTGTTCAATATGTAACCAATGTATAATTTTGCATTAATAATTTCTTCAGGATTAGTAACTATTCTTTAAACAGAGAGCAAACCCATGTAAATAATATACAAATATTTTCTCACATATAATAATAGATTGTTATTGTAGCAATGTAGTAAATAAAATCTAAATTATAAATACTTGATTGAACTAAGTATTATATATATATATATATATATATATATATATACATACACACATAATATAATATATATTTCTATATAACACGTGCTCTACATAACGTGATTCTAATGATAATAAATTAGTGATATTAATATAAATAACACGAACAACAACTGAAAAAATATTTATTTACGAGGAAAAGTTATGTAAAAAGTATCTACCTTTTTGGAAGAGTTTAAATAGTAAAAATATAGAGCTAATTACATTTATCCATTTATATATACCGTAATAATGTAACAGATATTAATTGATAATAAATATAATTGCGAAAAATATTACAAATATTATAAAGCGTAGGTCAGTACAAATGCTCTATTGTAAGCACTGAGGAATGAAATAATTTTTTACTTACTGTAATAGTAGAGTAAAATGATAAGAAATCAGTGCGTTATTTTAACGAGTATAATATTATTCTTATAATATATATTAATAAAAATTAATTTTGATTTCACTAAGGTATATTCGAAGAAAATGTATCACATTTAGAAGACATTTTTCTATATTAACGAAGGTGTTTACGAAATTTTCATTTATATACAAGTAACATATAAATCATAAAATTTTCATACTTTTTCCCTTATAATGTACTTATATGTATATATATAACTGTACTTATATATGTGCTTATATGTATACACACACACACACACACACACACACACACACACACACACACACAAAAGTACATATATAAGTACGGTTATATATATATACATATAAGTACATTATATATATGTATAAGCAGTCTATGTACATAATATACGAACGTAATTGTATCCGATTAAGGAAAACAAATACATTTATTAATATATATTACACAAAGCTTCTTGAGAGATAAAACCAGTTGAAAGGTTTATTACATATTACAAATAATATTAACATGATATATGGTGTTTTTGACTTTACATACGTACAAGCATAGAAATGAATGAAGGAATCGGGTAAAGCAAGTATATATAAATGTTCTCCTTCCTTTAACATGATTCTTTACATGATAAAATTACAAAATATTACATATGCACATGTATAATATGGCAGATTTAAATATATTAGTAAATTCTATATTTTCAGCTTGTATATTTCAGTTTTTAAGAGATTGGTGGCATTAGGTTCATTCCTTTACATTCAAGAGCAATCTTTACTCCTAATACAAATAAGCCAATGCTCTTAATTACAGACCTGTGAATAAAAGATTATGTCTATATAAATGATTATGTTGTAATTTATATAATCTTTATTTAATTAGACATATATAGTAATTGCGAATTTCAATGAATAATGGGCAACACTAAACAAGGTTATACATTTATAAAATTGACCCGAACATTATACACAACACAATGAAACTTTATTATTACGTACCATTTAAAAGAATCATAATAAACATTCTTTGCGTATTTTACAACAGATGCCATTGTGATCTTTATTTTTGGAAAGATAAATCTTAACTTATTCAATTGTTCCTGTTTCTGGCAAAGTATCTAATTGAATTGACACGAAATTATATGTAGTACCGGAAGAAGTGCAAGCTTAAAGTTATTTCTAATGTAATGTACATATGCGAAGATGATATATATTATCAGGTATTACAAAGATATTGTTTACTATTAATACTATGTTACACTGTACGAGCAATTTTGTATAAATTATGTAATTTTTTAATTAATTCGATAAAATTATAATTAGTTATAGTTTATTTTCAAGATCAATTTCGTAGTTTTATGAAACTCTATTTATATTATAAAAAATAGGCGTGGAATAAGGAATATTTAATAAACAAATTTGCATTTTACATACATGAATTAAATCATGCAATGAAAATGATTTAACACTACAATTTTTATTTTTCTATATTAGTATGTTGGCAGTATGTATAGATTATTACACATTACATTGCACAAGGAGTAGTTCATATAGAATGAAGTGAAGTGCAGTGCGGACTGCGGACAACGGACAGCGGACGGCGGACAGTGCGGTAGAAGGCAAATAAGATTCAAATGACTTGATGGTAAAAAAAGTTAAGAAAGGTATACAAATTTTATTCCTTGTCAATTTTATTTAGTGTGATTATCAAGATGTAATAGCTTGTATTACTGTTATTATATTTTTCTTTATATATGGTAATGTATTTATTTGTCTTTCTTTTGCGTTTGTGTAACCAATGTCATTAAATTAATGTCACTATGCATTATTATTTACATTTTTAATTATTCGAATGAAATATATATTTTCATTTCATTTGTAGCTCATTTTTCTTGATGCAATCGAAACGAGAAGAAAGGTGTCAGATTATTTTAGGATCATATGAAACAAGCTTTTCTGATATAAGAAACTGAGGTATATAAAAGTATCTGTGATATATTAATATATTTGACAGCAGTAATCATTTTATGAATGTGATGATTTCGGAAGAAACAAAATTTATTTAATAACATGTTAGAGGACGGATATAGTACCAATGTTCTGTGTGCATTGTTTACCATATTTTTCATACTTATGCTAAATTTCTTCCGGTATCTTGTACAAGAGCCCCATATTCATATTAGAGATGTTACCAAAGAGCATAATTGGAAATCTATAAGAAGGGAAACGAAGGTATGTGCCTGTGCATGTTTTATATATAAACAAATATATTGCTTATATGCATATATCTTCACTTATATTTGGCAAGCTTCGTATCTTATAATTACACTATTGTGTATAACATAATTACAATCCTCTCATTTTTAGCATAAATATACATGTAAATATGAATGTACTATTGATTACAGAAATACAAAATTATTGATAATTAATGAATTAGGTTTTGAAAGTAATTTGTTGAGTATGAATCGATTGAAATAAAATGATCTATTGATCATTTTAGACAACACTAATTTAGAATGTTAAATATAAAATTTATTTAAACTATAACATGTGTACATAGGTATATAAAAGTTACAAATATTGCTTTTATCTGTAGGCATATTATTGTAGCATTTGTGAAAGCTTGTTGTTAAATATTAATGGTTTGATCTGTGATTCATGTGGTGTTTGTGCGGATCCTACATGTGTCAAGATTGCAGATAAGCAATTAAAGTGCAAACTTATTACTGTAAGCGCAAATGAGCCAATGAAGCACCATTGGATAAAGGGTATGTTTTATCCTCTTACGTTTCTACATTTTATAAACAATATATATATCAAAAATTAAATTATTACTTGTTTCTAAATATTTGGTATTATTTAAATTATGTACTAAATTATTTAAATTAAATTATAAAGTTATTCAAGTTAATTTCTGTCTATTCATTTCATATAAGGTAATTTAGCTCTAAATGTTATATGTGAAATATGTAATGAGGAATGTGATGTGGAACCTGGACTAACAGATTGGTGGTGTTGTTGGTGTCAAAAATGTGTCCATGATAACTGCAAGTCTAAGCTTTCTAAAGTATGCTTTTTCTAAATATTCTTTTACAATTGCTTACAATCTATAGGAATGATTGATTACTTATTGTTATCTTTTAAATTCTGTTAGATATGTGATTTTGGTAAATTTAAGTTAATGATAATTCCACCAAGTAGTTTAAATCTGCGAAGTACTGTAAGGCGTAGATTATACCTTTGTTCGGTTATACCTCCAAATTGGCCTCAGTGGAATCCTCTTATAGTTGTTGGTAAGTTAGCACAAGAAAATAATATAATAAATGTTATAATAATATAATTATATATTATAATATTGTTATAATATACGTATAAAGTATAATCTTTTGAAAATCAGAATTTAGTTTATAAAATTTATTTTCAGCCAATAAAAGATCTGGTAATAATGATGGAGCAGAAATCTTGTCTCTGTTCAGAAGGTTATTAAATCCTGCACAAGTTGTTGATTTATCAGAGCGTGATCCAGTCGCTGTTTTAGAATGGTGTCGCTTACTTGGGAAAGTAACATGTACAGTCCTTGTAGCAGGTGGAGACGGAACAATAGCTTGGTTATTGAATGCCATTCATAAGCTTGGATTGGAGGTAATATCCGTACTACTGACAATTCTTTTATGTGAAAAGAGAAACTAATATACCTTGCAACAACATTGTTTCTCGTAGAGATCTCAATGTTGATTTTTTTTTTTCTTTTTTTAATACATGAAGACATTGGGAAACATTGCATGTAAAAGATACGTGTATGTATATATATATATATATATATATATGTATATTTTGTGAATTAAATAATTTAATATTTGTAATAGCCAGTTCCATCTGTAGCGGTAATTCCTCTGGGAACAGGAAATGATTTATCAAGAGTACTAGGCTGGGGAAAAGAGCACGATCCCGATAAGGATCCTGCAGATATTTTACATGAAATACAGAAAGCACAAAAAGTGGAACTCGATAGGTGCACAGAAAATATCCCGTACAATCCGTTTTAAATTATTTCTAATATGCGTAATTATCCAAATATTTTATTAGGTGGACTGTGATAGTAAAACCATATGGTGGATTAGGACTTAGAAGTTCACAGCAAACATTTTACATGTATAATTACTTAAGTGTGGGAGTAGATGCGCAAGTAACATTAAATTTTCATCGTACAAGAGAGAGTCGTTTTTACTTCTATAGCAGTAGATTGTTTAATAAGGTACTCTCTATTTTATTGGATATTTACTTTGTTATTGTATAAAATGATGTGTGTTTATGTGCTTTTGATAGCTACTATACTTGTGCTTTGGTATGCAACAAGTAGTTGAACGGGACTGCAAAGATCTTGATAAGAATATAGAATTATATTTGGACGAAGAGAAAGTGAATTTGCCATCGATCGAAAGTATCGTAATATTAAACATTCCATCATGGGCTGCTGGAGTTGATCTATGGAATATGGGATTGGAAGGTACTTACACATATCCTTTTATATGTGAAGTAATTGGAGAAATGTGAACGTTTTATATTGAATAGGCCACGAAGAATATGGAAAACAAAGTATCAATGATGGTAAATTAGAAGTAGTTGCGCTTTATTCATCGTTTCATATGGCTCAACTTCAAGTGGGATTGTCTCAGCCTTATCGACTTGGACAAGCTAATAGTATAAAGGTATTTCAAAGTTTATTCAAATCAACAGATCGAGCTTTTAAAAAGATTTAAAGAAGCATTATGTGTAGTATGATATCATTTACATTATATTTCTGCTATCTTTTTTTTTTTTGTTTTTCACAAACATTTTATAAAATTCAGGTAAAGATAATAAAACCTTGCGCCATGCAAATTGATGGCGAACCATGGTATCAACATCCTTGTGAATTCAATATCAGATATTGTAATAAAGCAGTCATGCTTGTAAACACGGTTGAAAGAACTATTTAATTCTTTCATTTTGGAGTATCTAAGAGGTTTCAATTACTTGTACATTCCAAAGTTTGGTTTTAAATGGAAAAGGATTCACTATACTCGATGAATAAAGGAACAAGCATGATAAAGGTGAAATGTAAGATAGAAATTATTTTTTATGTATGTGAATTGTATATTTTTATATTTTATTTATTAGTTGTGCATTTTAAACCTTATTAATAATTCGTGTTATTAAACTTTGAAATAAAAGATATATATTGATATTGTTTTCACATATGTAATAATTTATTATCTATATTTCTTTATCTATAAGAAAAGCCTATAATAATAATAATAATAATAATAATAATAATAATAATAATAATAATAATTAACTGCGTACATTAAGCGCTTACGATGAGTTGTAATAAAGGAAGGACGATGTATAAGATTTTTCTCACGTATTATCTTTGTTTGCAATCTATGTTTACAATTGTGCTTCATGAATAGGTTTTTACTGTAATTTACTATCTGTATTCAATAGCACAGCCGTAATTGTCTTACATTCCTAGGTTGTCAAATCGCCGCCGATGCACATGTTAAATCCTACAATTAATTGTCACAAATCACCATCTACTGTTCCCTGAAATATACAATTATTTATTTATTTTAATAATATTAGTTGATGATAGTCTGCAAGCTTTTCAAGTATTTTTGATCTATTATTATATATCATTCTAAATATTAGCTTTTTCTCCAATCTTATATAAAATGAATCGCATTAGTTTGATTATTTCAACTTTATTTAGATGAATTTTCTATTTACATATACTCTTGTAGAGCGCTTGTTTCATTTCTTTTAATTAACTTGGACGGTTTTAACGTGATTTCGAATTAACCGTTTTCGTCATTAATTTTTAGTTATTTTCACATATTTATATTTAATAAATTAATTTAATTTTCGAGTTTAATTTCCTTTATTGTTTCTTACTTCTAATAACAAATAAAATGTTGTGCAGAATAAGCAGACTGATATATATATTAACTAGACCATATAGTAAAGAAAATTCGATTACGTTTACTGCCTCGTCTCGTCGGACAGAGTATACATACGGACATCGTATGACACACGAAGTTGTTACACATTTGAAATTAGCCAAATATGATTCGCAATTCTGATTGCAAATTGGAAAAAAAGTAATTTGAGGATCGTTAGTTGGCCCTGTAGTCGCATTTTGACAAATTTTCCGATTATGACAGAACGACAAATAAATTTTCTCCTTGTATTAATAACAATTTGGTTGATGCACGAAACAGCCAGAATTATGAACAACATGAAGTAAAAATTTTGCATTTGGATGACATTACTGAAAAGATTATACTGATTCTAGACGAAACAAAATTAGATAACATTCACTATATAATGGAACATTTAGTTAAGGTGTATGCCATTACTTTTAAAACATAATAGATGATGAATGGAGATTTTATAAACATATCTGGCAACAGTACGATGTAATAAATAAATAAACATTATGGTATGGTTTCTCTTCGTAAAAAGCTTAAAATGACTCTTTTCTAAAGATAAAACCGAATTGGTCGCACTTGTAACGTAAAATTCTTGCCAGTTGCGGCGGACCACAGTAAAAGACTGTCACTTTGCCTTTCTTCTGATCCTGAAGCTGCTTGAATACTTTATCCCAGTTCGGTCGGCCAGCATTCGTCCGTGTTTTTAAACCTGTTATAAGATCCCGTTTTTCCTGAAAAATTAAGCCATTTATTTCTGTGGAATTATCTAATTTTTCGTTTTATAAGATCATTTCGTTTTATAAAAATCAAAATCGTCTTTAACCCTTTGAACGCTACGAAGTACGTGTATACACATGTGACAACAAATATACGTATAATTAAAAAAAAAGCCACATGTTGTTTGCATAATTGCATATATTAAAATCATCAGACGGCATAATAAGTAATTTAGTCTTATGTAGATCTATAATATTTAACATTCTAATAACAGAATTTATAGAAGTATATTTGAAAAAGCCCATTTGATTTCTTTAAGAGAGATAAAATAACATAATAGAAAGGATTTTATTAATGGTAATAAAAATAAAATCTCCTGACTTTCATAGCGAAAGAAGGGTTAAAACTATTGCAAAACTATATTGTTTTCTTTTGTAAAAAAAAACTGTGAAAACTAAAACTCATCGTGTTTCATGTACGTATATTGTACATATGTAAGATTAAAAGTATGTGGGGAAAATAAAACTTTTATTAGACAGTGGTGAAGACATTGTTCGTTTGATTTACACCAATAATAATACGAAAAAGTAGAGAAGTAACGAAGAAGGATAGAAATTTGTCGATTTCGAACCATTTGGTGAAGCAAGTCCATAGCTAGCTGCAAGGTAACGGCTTTCATATCGTTCTTCTGCAAAGCACTGGTAATGTACATGTGCATTTCAAGAAACCGCTCCATAGCGATGCCTAACTCTGCTTGTTCCATTTCTAGTTGCGATAATAAATTCACGAACCATTCAAAGGATCGTTGATCTCTATTGATCCAGAAAAAGTCTACCTGTAGATGTGACGATTCATTGATTATCAAATATTTTGTTAAAATATATGCGTACATATATTGAATTTATTAATATTATCTACTTACTATTTAGTAATAGAATTAATATAATTTTCATATGGATACATCGATAATGTTTTCAAAAGTTGAGAAGCAATTAGCAATGAGCTTGTCGAATCAAGAAATACAGAGAATACGAGAATTTAAGCGATAGGCGGCAAAAATAGGCATTTAGAGCATTGTCTTCTGGCCATCACTCGTTCCGTCGCTTATCGCTCACCGCTTTCTACGGTCTATAGAGATAGTACATATGAAGATGGAGTGCGTGAGCGAGTCGGAAAAACGATTCAGGAATATAATGAAAAGAATTCTTGCGTTCCTTGTCCAATAATGCATGCACCATCGTACCATATATAGTATATATAGTATAGTATATAAGTGCAACATCGATTTCACGAGCAGCGTCAGTGTGTACGTCTAATTAGACAAGGACAGAAAGACAAAAGGTTGTCGCTCAATCTTCAGTTATTATGTTTGTATTTTAGTACGTATCCGTGACAAGCGGCAAACAGGTAAGAAGAACGATGAACTAAAAAGAACAGCCTTGTTAAGAGTGCATACACAGTGCGTACAAGGATTGAGTACGCGAGTCATATGTTATTATGTAAGCAGATGCGACATGTTAATAGAAAGAGAAGGCTGTATAGAAGGACTTTTAATCGTTGTCTAATCAGGCATGCAGACTGACGCCGTTCTGACGCCGTTCTTTCGTCAGATTATTCCGAATGGACACGAACGAGACCGTTGCGGTGCCGTTGGTTGGAACAACAGAGAAATAAAGTTCTTCTGTTTCGCAAAAGAAGAACAAACCGTTAGCGTCCGTTAGACAAGGACACAAGAGGCCTCTATGCAGCTATTTTTTTCTATTTCTATTTCTATCTTATGTATCGCTTTTTCAGCTCGCTCGTACATGGCGATCTTTTGGCAATATTAATTAAAAATCTCTAGTCATATTAAAAAAGTACCAACTGCGACAGGATTTCGTCGTCCATCTGTATGTTCGTCCGTCGCTCAATAAATCGCTCAGCGCTTGTTGTTTATCTCTCTTCTGTGTAATCTTCCGTGTAATAAATCTTACACAGATTTTTAAAGTTAAGACATTCGTCGGTCAAATGTTCGGATGAATTTATAGGTCAGAACCGCTCGTTTCCGGTTCATTTTCGGCTTTCGCGACAGAAAATATCCCCGCAAAGGCACATTCGGGCCAAAAATTTGTACAGTCTGGATACTATACTGAATCCAGATGCTATACTGAATTCCAAATGCTTTGAAATTATCGCTATATGGATTATTTTGAGAATATTTGGTTTTTATTTCGATTTATGAAGACGCACGGTGTAATTTCATATACTGAATATCATTCATTTAAAGTATTTCAAAGAGTTTCTAAGATTGCGTAGAAAAGTGAAAATACTGAGACAGATACTTGCCTTACGAAGATGCATCACGGTGGCAGGTATTTCACTGGCCCAGGAGAATTTACATTTTGGACAAGTGTGCCTGGCTTTCCAGTAACGATGCATGATGGACTGTAATATCGAAGCGAAAGGTGTTACTCCGATTCCCGTTGCGATTAAAACCGCATGTTGGGCCTGAAATATGTGACTCGAAGGAGCTCCGTATGGTCCATCCAGAAAAATCTGAATACATAATGATTTAATTACTAATTAAATTACAAGTTTCCATATGTCACACCAATTACTTTATTATTACATAATTGCCTTCATTACCTACGTATATACATAACCCTTTTTACTAAAGGGTCTTTAAATCGAATTTCAAATTTTTTTTATTACTTCTTTATAATACAACGTAGAAGCATAATAAATATCTAACATCCCTATTACTTAAACTCACGTAGCTTAAACTTTTGAATTAAAGCATTGCATATTTATGTAATATACCTCCAATGGTTTCCCGACGGTATAGTTTAGTGTTACATCCGAAGGATCGTCAGATTTGATATCATCGTAATCTCTTTTCGAAGTTTCTTCGAATTTCATTTGTAGTCTACCTTCCTCTGCTGCTGCTTGCATCGTATTTATTATTGAATTATTCCATGATTTTCTCCCGTATTCGTCCACGGTTGTTCGCGGCATTACTATTTCACCAAGAACTTTATCAATTTACTTTCATATCGCAAGTTTTTTATTTTAAGGTGCAAGAGATAAGAAATGAAAACGTTTTGGGAATCATATTCAAAGGAAACGAATAGTAGAAAAACAACAAGCTCTTCTGTCTGCTCTTCTATCTGCATGTATTCATAGAAATATCAATTTGCACAGATATCCGCAGTTTAATTAGAAAATTGTAACAGGTATTGGAAAAGGTATTAAAGGAAGACGAAACAATTTGTCAAAGTTGGGTATGTGTAGCTCTCGACGAAAGATATTGTACGGGATTGAAATTTGGTGATCGAGGAGATCGGAGGAGATAACCACTCTATTTATAAGCAATAAGTAGAGCGTTCACGTTATTCAAACAGAAAATTGCTATTTATTCTGAAAGAAGATTAACTTCGGGGAAAGAAGAAACGCGGGAACACGGTGACTTACCGTATCCGTTCGCGGATGTTGTTGATTCTAATTCGTAGTTTTCCAAACTTGGAGTCTTGAAAGCAATTATTGTGGGTTTATTTCGCATGTACCGGAAACTTTGTGCTAATCCTTTATTCTGCGGGCTGGAATAGGCCTGGTCTAGAGATTTTAAACGCTTATGGCGTATTTCACGGTCGTTGAAGTTTCTTTCCGATTCTGATCTTGTGTAATCGCGAAGTCTGTGAAAGAAACGACTTGATCATTTTACGTAGCCATCGAAATTAATTTTTTCCGTAAAATATCACAATTTATAATAGTAATAGTTCTCTAATATTTGAAAAAATATGATTATGAATATTTTGTTTTGTTCGATATAAAAGCAACAACGTGTAATTCTAATTTTGAAACATTAATTATTGTTACTTACACAGCTAATCTTTCACTTTTCTTCCTTCCTGGCAGCATGTTAGGTACCGAAATAGACTTTTCCAAAGGGATCCTGCTACTAAACAGCGAATGACGAAGTTGCCGCTTGTTCGACAACGTGTTGTTATCTGCTGTGCCTAATTTTACGAAGTAAAAGTAAGAGAATAAAACGAGTAAGAATTATAGAAAGCGCCTTGGAAAGCAATTTGAGAAATCCCGATAATAATTCGAGATTTCAAATTCGAGATAGAACATGTTACGAAGCTAATAGACTTTGATTCTAAAAGACCTTCGGATTTCGAATAATTTAACAAAATTCAAATAAATTACCGCTTGCAGATTGTGGCGAGTGTATTATTTTTTCACTGTCAGGAACAAACACAGAATTGTCGAAACAACGATGATTTCCGTTTCTCGTATTGGTACAGAGTATCTTGTCATTGGCATTTGGTTGTTGTTTTTCGTTAAGATATCTATATCGCGAAGGAATAGGAAACGATTAAGAATGATGTATCTTTCATTTATCGTCTGTTGCCTGTCTACGTACTACATACATATGTATATGTATAGCGAGAGTTTCAGCTATACGGGTCAACCGATAAACAGAACTGCACGGAACTCACATTTGCTTAGGAGCATCGCTGGTGCTGCTGCGACTCTCAACAGGAAATGTATTGTTTCTTTGAAGTTTTATCTGCTCTTTCTCAAAGTACGAGTAAAGACTATTCGTCCATTCACCTACTGCTCGTATGTGAAGCCATATGTAATCTGTGAAAATCAAACATAAGATGTGTACTTTATGTATATATATAATATAATTATTATTATATAATATAATTATATATATAATATTATTATTATATAATATAATTATATATATAATATAATTATAATACCTGATGACTTTTCCATCTGATCAACTACATCACCTAAACGAGATACGAACATTTGTTTAAATTATTTCCAGACTGCGGACTATTTATGCAAATTCATATTTTTATAAACTATACATACTATAAAGATGTAAAAGTTAAATAAAGATATGATTCACTAACGAGAATTTGTAACGAATACCCTATTCTAGATATTTTGTACGTAGGTATCCTACATGTATACACACATATCTGCGTATTATGTACCCATATGTACGGGTTTTGTGTATTTTTTTGCATAAGCGCATAAGGAACGCTAAAATAAACGCATAATTTGGAATTAGTTGTCTAAAATAAATTATTTGAACCTTCTTGTTCTGGAGCGCTGCTAATAGTGAAAGGATGCCATTCGTAACGAGCTATAACTGGAACGTTGACGAAAACATAATCGCCGGGATGGAAGACGAAATGTGGAGGTCTCTTGATGACTAAATGCGTCACTCTCGATGGTAGCAGAAGGCCTGAGCTTATGTACGTTTTTCCCAATTGTGAACGAGACCAGGCAATTCGACGTATCCTTTCCAGCATGTATATGGTACCTGGTCCTATGAACCATTTCCAGAAATTCGGTCCATGTAGTATCGTCAAAATCCAGAATGGTATGTATAATAAGTGTGACCAATAAAATATCTGTAAAATATTTCTGTAAAGTATTTTCTATTTTAAGTAAAAATATCTGTAAAGTATTTTCTATTTTATGCTATGTTTATTTCAATGTAGGCAGCATAGCAGCAGCGTATTATACGATAAAAATGAATTGCCATATTTTATAGGAAATATCTCTCTTGAACTTGACAAATTTAGATAACAATGTTTCTTAAACGGTTACACCATTACTTTGGATTCTTCTCTAAAGTCTATCGATCGATATACTTGTTAATTTACTAACGTCTAATTGTAAGATGATGTAACGGCTGCAACGAGAGGTTACTTATTACCTCGAAACATCCACCGCGTCGAACAAACGGCATGGAGCACATCGTTATTACGACAAGAAGAACGATAAGGACGACTCCAGTAGGGTTTGCATAACCTCCTATGAGCCCAAATAGAGCTGGCCGACTTGTTAATAGCCACTCATACATTGTATAGTTATTGTAGTTAAAAGCCTCGTCATACACCACGATAGTGCCTAAAAACATTTAACGCATTTAGAATAAAATTTTCCTTAATTACAGTTGATATCCGAATGAATATTACAGTTGACTAAAGAATAATTTGCGAGCATTCTTCTTGGGAAATTCGACGGAACTTTACGCACGACCCGATAATACTGTACTTTGTACAATTGTATCGCATCGTGATATAATATGGTATCGTACCAAAATTAAGAAGGTGCATCACCGTGTGTAGTACGCCGAAGATACCAATTAGAGCTCCAGTCACTTTGTGAAGATAGATATGTTGATCTAATGGTAGTACAGAATTAAAGCCATGAGTTCGTAGGAAGGTAATACACTGACGCAACATAAGAACCAGGATGAAACTGCAGTTGAAGTTTAAACACTGACCTGTATTAAAATTACGTTTATGAAAATACGAATGATATTCCGGTGTGACCAGTCTGATAATGATCAGTCAGGGTGATTTATAAAATATAGCAAAGGCGAAACTTTTACCACAGGCACGCGCAACCATAACGTAGCCATTAGACGTTCTATATTCGTAGAGTCTTGTTAGGAATAAGGCCACATTGATTAAGACGAAGATCGAGATGAAAACGATGTAAACGTAATTGTTTTTCATATATGGCTTCGTTAACTGATAAGGGCGCAATGAAGTGGTGAGAAATTGTAATCGTGATTTTCGCTTCGTTTCGGGCTTTGGCGGTACCAGCCATCGGTCGATACTGTAATTCAATGTTCGTTCTTAAGAGTTTTCTATTTAAATTGCAACTTAGAATTATATTATTTTATAGGTATGAATTATAATATCGGACAGGAGGATTCCTAGTTAAAATAAACGGAAAAAGTGATTTTGCGATAGAGCCCTTTTCACCTAATCGATAAATTTTCTAATAAGCCTTCGTGCTTCTCCAATTGTTTTTTTAAGGCTTCAAAGGTGATGGCACCTCGGTTAGCTCGATCAGCATCATCAAACAGGGCCACAGTTAATTCCTCAATTTGTTCTTCGTTAAATTGTATACCATTTTCTTCCATACAGGCTCTCATCACGTGTTCCAATTCACGAAGTTGTATTAATCCGTCACCTTTTCACGAACAACAGATTTCACAACAGTTTAGATTCGATAATTTCGATTATTATAGTTAGCACTTTGTTCTTCTGATAGAAATTTCGTTTAATATTTAAAGTTACGTCACCATCTATGTCGTAAACTTTGAAGAGAAATTTTATCTTATCGTCGGGACTCTTTCCAGCGAACTGATGCATCGCATCGAGGAACTCTTGAAGCGATATCGTTCCAGAATTATCCTTGTCGAAAATTTGGAACACCCGGTCGGTGAAAAACGGCTGAAAAGAAATTATATCTCCGATTATATTTCAGCAGTATGTGAACATTTACTGTTCTTTTTATACTGTTGATAGTTGAAGTTGAATCAATGATAGATATGTATGGTAAAGTACCGAGGTGTAACAATAAGGGGTGACCAATCAATGGTGTCGTATATCTAATATTTCGTATTATAAAATGAACGAAATCGAATTTTAAATAGAAAAAGAAGGAAATTCGAGAGAAGAACATTAAACTGCAAATTTGAAATGTGAAATACTTATGCCTTCTGCCTACGTTCTTCGAAGTGACGATTTTGTTAAATTCTTCGCGCCTAATTTCCTTTTCATTGCCCACCGTCTGTTTAAAAAGTTTCTCCAGCCATTCCAAACTGCGCTTGTCGAAGCCGGCGAGTGGTCTTTGAACAAATTTTATAAGACGTCAACGAGCTATTGACAAATACGTAACAAATGACGTAATAAAAGATCTTAAGAAATTAGGATATATATATTGATCAAATTTCTGCCAGATAATTACGCGACGATAATAATGTTACCTTGTATTGCTAATGGTCGAGAGGAATTCCATGATTTGAAACGATGTTACATATCCCAAGTTTTCTTCGTCAATCCGTCGAAATAATTTATCTACGATCTGTAATGTATGCATGTACATAGATCGGTGTCCTAGTAAACGTACGATAACGCTTACCTCTTTAGTAGAAAATATCTGCTGAAATTTCGGAAAAGTTACTGGATTATCGCCACATATGCTGTATGCGACGTTCTCGAGCTGGATAATAAGATCGTTTGGTTTGTCATTTCTGTCACAATAACATAGAAGTTTAATACAACGTATGTAATATATAAACGATAAATGTAAAAAGGTAGTGTTTATTTGTAACATGATTTTCCAGATAATAAATACATGTATACATATAATGGGTCTCACTTCAATCTTCCCTTCAAGAATTCGATCCACTCATCCTGCGTCAATATTTTATCCTGATTGCGGTCGAACAATGAAAACACTTTTTCCATCAACGTCTGAAATGTATATTATTTTGAAGATTTTAGAGAAGGTGAAAAGCGTAATTGGTGTAATTTATCGAGGAAGAAATGTCTTTTCTTCCATCTTAAACCTCTAAATTATTGAAAATCACTACGTGATATAAGGAAGAAAATAAAAAGCTTGGAGTAATAAGGATATTTTAATAAGTGATATTTTCAAAAGCTTATGATTCGAGCGAATGAGTACATATTTTCTGAGATGAAGCAGTCTCTGAAATATTGGGTGATTGCGAACTAAGTGATTGCGAATTTTGTCATTACCACCTAATGACAAAAAAATGTATTCTCCATAAAAATGAACAATAACAACGCGTATAGAAAATATAATCGATACAATCGATATTCACAAGATATATAACGTAAACTGGCAAGAAAGCAAATTTAGTTAAATAAATTTAATTGTAATTGTAATCGCAAATGTAATTTAGTTAACAACAAATGTTTAATAGTTGGTATTTCAATTTTTCGTAAAATATAGGCACGATTAGAAATTTGTGCATGTTTAAAAACCGATCAATTTACAATTATTTTACTAGAATACTTGCAGCATATTACTCTATATGTATATTATTTCACATAATAATAAATTGGATTTTTTTCAGATTTTCAATTCATCGTCATACCTCTTTCATAATCATGGATGCGATTATACACCATAATACGGTAGGCATAACGGTATATTGTATTTGTTCGAATGATATCGTGCCGCTACCACAAATTACGAAAAAAGAAACCCCCCTCTTTAACACACTTGCTTATTTCGCGGTATAAAGTGTAAAGGGTTAACCGGGGTCCGACACCGGTAATGCACCGAGTAATCTTTTGTCTCGTTCCTCGTTTCTCTGTTCGAGAGACAGGATCATCATCGAGTAAAAATCGATCGAACACGACCGAATGACGAGCACTGAATATGCCGGAGGCATGAAACGTGAAGCGTGAGGCTGAACGAGGCTCGTTGGCTCCGGGCAATCGGTCACCTTGATCGAAATCTCCGGCCTTCGATAAATCCCATTGCCGTTACCTCCGGTCCCGTCTCCGTTGTCTCTCATTTTCCCTCGAGCGAGCGAATTCTCCGATATTAAATCGTTCCTCTGCTCGATAACGATCTAACCTTGGCGTTATTTGCTTTCAATGGAAAGCACGACCTTGTCTTATTTCTTATCGTTTTGTCTCTTTTCAACTTTCCTAAAACCGCCCAATACCTATGCAACCTTTCTCCTTTAATCAGACAGTTACTTATAATTGCCCCCTGACTTCGACTCTTGAATCATCGAACGGCTGATATACATACATATCTGTATATTCCCTGAATATGTACTGTTCAACATTCACCATGTTTCGTAACATTTTGGTCAACTTTTCTTAGTATGGTTTTAGTTAGTACGTTTAAGCTAAGATTCTTCTTTACCTACCTACCTACCTCTCTAGATTGCTAGAAGCTCTAGATTGCAACAATTGCTTCTAAAATCTTGTTCGTTGTAAGATCAGGATTTCTTCTGGTATACGTAGCTATATTAAAATATATATGTATATAGTATGTACGTACATATGTATCTGCAGTTTACCGTTTTACTTCCCTTTATGTGCCCATGGTACACCATGGTACGCTTTCACCATGATAATGAAAGTGGAATGAGAAAATCGGAATCGGCCCGATAGCATCTTTTTCCGTTCGTTCTAATTTTATTCTAATTTTATTCGTAACTATTCGTTTGTTTCTTGTGTACATGTAGAGATATGTACATATGTAGAGTATAGATACCGCTGTGTAACACTATCTCTATACGTGTGTGTAATATCTCAAAATATTAGAATTTATATTATATTTCTATTATATTATATTTGTGAGATTATTGATACACGTAATGAATGAAAAGAGATAAACATTTCGAAATTTTCATAAAAATATTTACTTCCGATCGACTCGATTATTAAGTTGGTAAAATATTCACCAGATCCAGCAACAGTTGTTTAAACGAGTCTCTGTTGTGACGAACCACGCCGTTCACCCCGATTATACGGGAACACTCTTCCAAGATGGTCGCTCTCCTCCTTTCGATTAATTCTCCCTCCATATGGTTTGCGTCGTTTTCCATTTAAAAAATTTTTTGCCACAGCTTTTATTAAATAACAAATAATTTCTTCCAACAAATAATTCCTATAATAAATTAAATAACAAATAATTCCTATAATAAATAAAAAGAGAAGGAATATATCACTGTACGCATTAACGTTTACAAAAGATTTGATCTAGTATAAAAGATATTAAAGAATACACTGCAGGCCACGATCGTATTATTTCAAACTGTTCCGTTAAATTTTGAATACTTTGGGGAGAAGTTAAGTTAACGAATCGAATCGTTCCACTTTAAGATTCTTGTTTATCTTTTTCACCGTATCGAATAGGATTTTATCAACACTTTACACAGGATTCTACATTTTAATCGAAGAACAGCATTTTTTTTTTTTTTTTTTTTTTTAGCCGTAAAAAGTTTTAGTCGATTAATTTATATTCAATACTTTAACAGAACTTTTATTTTACTTCGAGTCAATTGAACGGAAGAAAGGAAACGATGTAAACACTTATGTATCAGAATCAGAATCACACTCTTGTTTACAAGTCGCGACTTGGTTCGTTGATAGACGCAGACTAACGAACGACGATCGATCGCTATTGACGAAAGCCGAGAAAGAAAGATCACCCATCCACTTCTTCACTGTCAAATCTATCCCGACGAGAATTTTTGAAACACGTTTCAGATCTACGAAACGGAATGGGGGAGGGGGGGGGGCGGATGCCTAAAGATCATGCAATCGAACAGAGAAACAGACAGACGAATAAACAGTCAACCTTTCACTTCTTGAGTCATCGTCTCTTTTTTTTTCGTTCCTTCCGTTTCTTTTTCTCCGCCTCCTCCATAATTTCCCTTTCTTCTTTTTTCTTTCTTTATTTTCCGATTTTTTCCCCGTATAAATAATAAATACCCTTACGTACACACTGTCGCTTCTATAAGAGATGTATGTCGTGTATGTATGTATGTATGTATGTATGTAGTCCTGATGTAACTCCGATTAATCCCGTTTTATAAACTGTTTTGTAAGCCATAATTTATATGTACCAAATGAATTTTCGTTTAGTTTCACTTATTCGTTCACTTATTTTCTATCGTTACATACGGTGATTTGCGAAACAGATGCCAAAGGCCATTGCACCTCGATCTCGGTTATAACAAAATCTCTTATATTCGACTAGGTAATTTCGAATGGACGGGGAAGCTTAAAAATCTCGTATTTATAATAGAAACAACGAAAACAGACAGACGAAACTGAACAACGAAGCATTTAAAACTTTAAACGAACCAGCGAACTTCGATTATCGTAAACTTACAATTAATTTTCGACGAGAAAGAAAAAGTGAATACATATACGTATTTTCGTATGTGGTATTTATGAAAATACCAGTTTAAATACTTTCTGCATTCCAAAGATTATTAAGAAGATACTCTCGTTCTCATGCACGAGAGAGGAATATTTCAAGGAAAAATACTGCAAAATATCCTTTCCTTATTTCCATTCGTTTCTCTTTATCCCGACACCCCTCGCACATCATTCGCTCTTCTTTTTCATGTTCACTTGCAATCTTTTCTTTTCATCTTTATTTTCTACCTTCCTTACTTACCCTAAAGGTAGAAGTCTTATCAATGCGGAATTATAAATTAGGTGTACATGTATAACATGCTCTCTCAAAACTTTTAAATAAAATTTTCTAATTGGAAATCTTAAAATATACATGTACATATTTTCAATGAAGTGCAAAATAAATATTTTTGATTTAGTTAACGACGATCGTTATTCTTTACCCTTGAAAACGGGAGAACAAAGATGCCGAAAAAGACTAAATATGGTTACAATGGTATGTACAATGTATCTACATTTTAATCTCAATCATAGCTTACTTTGGATTTTTGCGGCGGGCCTTGTGATTTCGAAGAGATCATAGTATCCTGCTAGTTCTGTATGCTTATAACTTAAAAAGTTTTCGGGTGAAATAGCGAGCGATAAGCCCGGTATCTTGGATCTTGTATCTATTTGATCAACCATCCGAACCAATGTACCGATCGACCAGCAGATGATCTAAATTTCGACATTCAGGATTCGAAAAGATGATGTGACCGCATCTATATGCGGGATCCATACGGGACCTATAATCAATACAAATCAATCGAATCGATACAAGAGGCGAAAGAGTCTTATTAACCGTGAAAAATGGATTCGATGTACTTGGAGATATTTTATGGCGGCTAACATTTTTGTCTCCTAATAGGAGATAATTGCTTCGTCCGTCCCCTATCCGGATCGATGATGTTTGGTAAATATCATGGAGATTCGTTTCACCTGCTAAATATTATAACAACGTGTACTTGCGCGGTCTAACAACAAGTGATAAAACAGTGGAAAAAAGAGAAGGAGCGGCGCAGTCTTGATTTCATTCCGCGTGGTTCGATACTCGCCAGATTCACTCACTTAAATTACATTGATTTTTCATACACGATTCCTATATACTTATATATATATATATATATATATATATATATATATATATATATTTATATGCTTACAATCCTAATTTACTGGTCTCAATTAAAGATTTCCTTTGTCTATTACATTAGATTTGTTTATTAGATGGATACATGCTTTTGAAAACTTTTTATTAATTCTATTAGTATAGTAATGTTATTATGGTATTTTACTTTGTTAATAGTGCATTTTGCGATTGCATCGTTCACACACTCGGATTAGTCGCTATAAATCGTCTAAAAGTAAAATAGCAATTTACTATTTTCGATGATACTTAAATACATACTCGTACATACGACATATCGTCGCAAATAAACAATATCTTTTTTCATGGTTGATACATACTGGTCAACTTCTGTTATTGAAAACAGAAAATAAAATTAATCGATTACACCTATAGTTGTTTGCATTACATGTACATATATGTAGGTTGAATAGAACGAATCAACTGGTTGCAAAGATGTTGGCGTGTTGCCGTGGACCGATGGATAGGAAGTCTCCAAATCCATATGCTATGGTATAACATCCATTTGATCGTCAGCCTCGCAGCAAGTGTTGAAACTTTAACTCAATTCTTCACTGAAAATATGTCAATAACTGAAATAACAGTTCGATTTTCCGACGTGGTTACACCTAGATCTAATTTCTTAAATATGGATAACACGTTAACTTATAACTAATAATACACGTATGCGTACGTTTTTCAGAATCGTTTCTTTACATTATTTTCTTGATTGTTAGACATACAATGACGATTGTTTAGAGGTTAAACTGTTACATATAGATAGTTTTACACAACGTGTTATACTGCTTTTTATAACTCTACATATGTACATATGTATTATGACATGTGTATTTTGCACATTATCATGAGAAACAGATTTAACAGGATCCAGATGTAAAATACAAAAGATAATTAAAAAGGAAATATGTAAAAATAGATGTTATTGATCTTAACATTATGTTTTATTATGATTAGTATATATTTTTCTTCACGAACCTTTCGCGAGGACTATAAGAATAACCCAACATACGCTGGATGACGGTTATTTTATAACATTGAATTACTTATTTTAAATACTTTATACTTTCGTCATTTTTCCTCCATACAATGCTATACAATACACAAATTAATGTATAATATATACATATACATATATATAATTATCATATACTAATATATATACATATACATATATATCATATAATACAGAATATATGTATATAATGTAAAATACGTATAATTATAACAAAATTTGATGCAAATATTAAATAACGAAGAAGAAAAACTTAAAAAGGATGAAGGATGTAACAAAACTATCGTTTAATCACTTTTCTTATTACCGCTTGAACAAAGGCATTTGCTATGTTCGTCGTTTAAGCGGTCATACTCCTTGGTAAGAGATTCAGCTTGTGATTTTATAGCTTCTTTATCTTTCTTTTCTTTTGTAAGCTGATGTTCCAATTCTTGATTTTTCGTTTGCAGCTCCTTAACTTGATTCTTCCATTCTGTTATTTCTTCGTCGTGAGCTTCGTTTGAGTCATTTTGTGCAATCTCTCCGATTGTTTTTTGCGACAATAAATGTTTCGCTGTTGTAGTAGCAGATTCAGCCTGACGCATAGCTGCTTCATTTTGTGCCAACAGAGTGGCTTGAGTAGAGATTAAAATCACAAGTCGATGTATAACAAGACTTAAAAACAGCGCGAAACCAGCTATGTAAAAGTTTCGTTCCGCTCTGAATAATCTCATATTGCCTACGTAAAGTAATAGTGGAATAGAAATTAGTTCTCCAAATAGATAAAATACCATAAATATACCACTAGAAATATATATATATATATAAATATATATATATATATATATATATATATATATATATATATATATATATATATATATATATATATATATATATATATATATATATATATATATATATATATATATATATATATATATATATATATATATATATATATATATATATATATATATATATATATATATATATATATATATATATATATATATATATATATATATATATATATATATATATATATATATATATATATATATATATATATATATATATATATATATATATATATATATATATATATATATATATATATATATATATATATATATATATATATATATATATATATATATATATATATATATATATATATATATATATATATATATATATATATATATATATATATATATATATATATATATATATATATATATATATATATATATATATATATATATATATATATATATATATATATATATATATATATATATATATATATACACACACACCTTGCATTTCAGCATTCAAATGATATTCTTTATGTTCGGTAACTGTAGAATATTTTCGCATTTCTCTAATAGCGTCCAATAGAAACAAAACCAATATTCCAAGTAAAAATAAGAAGTAAACTGATGCTTGACTACTTAAACTTTTTAGAAATTTAGATTTAAAAAGCTTTTGCCATCTTTTAGGTGAAATAATTGGTAATACTAATAATAAAACTACTACAATTTCAAAATAAAGAAATCCAGCAATTAAAGTCCAGTGCAGGCTCATGTTTATTTGTTATTGTAACGGATTTACACATCTGAAATATCATATAGAAAAATTATTATTGTCAATAATAATAATTACATACATACATACATACATACATACATACAAGAACAACTTACTGAAATTAATAGCAATAAAGTATTAAATTCAAACTAACTGTTCATCGTCTGCATTAACAATTTGAATAAATATAATTAATTATGGAAACATAAACAAACTAGAAAATATATAATAATATTGGACTCGTACTAACATGTAATAAGAATTAGATAAAAATTATTAGATTAGTTATTTATGATCTAGAAATTTGTTTAACTGAAATGAAACTTTAATTGATTGACATCGATCAAATTCTATCTGTACATATAACTGCAAATGTTTATCATCGGACATTATGCAAAAGAGAAATTATAAAATTAAGTTTTAAATTGTATCAAGTACCAAGAAGATATAAATACGTATTATCTATTTAAAATATTTTTTATGTCCTTAGAATGCGTATTAAATATATTACAGACGACGTAAATAATATAAAAACAGTCACCTTAATACCTTTAACATCTAAACTAACCTGTTAGTTAACTGCTATCAACTATATGATGATTCATTCATCATCAGGATTGCCAATATTTCAAACTTAGCAATATATTTGCACGAAGTCAAAAGTATTTCGATATTGAATAATAAAGCAATATATTATATATCGTATTTAGATCCGTAACAAGTAAAATGATTCATCTTTACCTTATTTTACTTTACTTAATTTCTTACTAAAACGTTTCCAATTGGCAAGTGATACTAGCAATCTTGATGTTTATATTATTAATTGGCAAAAGTTGCTTATTTTGCACTAATTGTAATGCGCTAAATATACAAAATTGGCCAGTATTTGACTATTTCGTCATAATTAATCAATTAATTAATTAAACTAAAAGCTATATGATTTTATTCAAAACATTAGTCACTAAAAATACATACCAGTATGTAACAAGTAACTGGTATCTCCACGTATAGTATAAAAATAAATGGTACAAAGTGCGAAGTATGCATATGTATGTATTGGGAATACAGTTTTCAAAGTAAATTAAAAGATAATCATAAATTTATACAAGCCGTTCCACCTAACTCTGCCACCCTTGATTACTCTCTTATTTGTAACGGTACAAAAAAAGATGTTTGGGCAGGAAGTTATTGTATTTCAGGGGCGAAATTAGGCTATGAGAATAAAAAGTAAGTCATCTCCTAGAAAAGATTTATGGAAATGAGTTTAGATATAAAGAAATTTTAGCCAGACGAAATGATAGGACGAAAGACGTAATTATAATGATATGACTATGTATATACGTGTCTTTGATTTTCTCGCTTTTTAATAGAAATTAATTAGAAGAGTATAAAGGCAGAAACGCGAAAAACATAAACAATAAAGATGAGTGGAAGTCATAAAAACGTGCTTCTATTACATCTATTATTCAAATTTTAGCCTAATAAATAAAGAGTATTGATACAAAATTACAATAATGATAATTATCACTTAACAAATAATTTTTTTCGAATCATTTCGAATTATATGAGATATATACGTAACACATCAATGTGATTCTCGGGATTACATATGTATATTTAGTATTCTATTTCTAACTGCCATTTCCTTTTCTTGTTTTTAATCAATCTTGTTTTCATTGGTTGTATTTTTATATTATTTAAATGTGATATTTCATAATAGGAATATTACTTATTGTTATTAGTATTATAAAAATAAGTGTACAAAGTCTGAATATATATATATATATATTACATAATTTATTTTCAGATAATTTATTTTTTGTAATTTTTTTATTAAATAACATTACGTTTGGCTACTAATAATTCAATATTAAGATATATTAACAACGTGCTGCAATCACACGAGCACGACGCTGATCTACGCAATTAGAAAACTCTTCGACTAAGGTAGAACACTTCAGAATTTCTTTAGGATGGTCCTGGTAACATTTGAACACTTTCTCAGAACTATTTTTGCATGGTTGGACAGTATCATGAATATTTACCCCTTTTTTACCTACAAAAAGAGATAATAAAAGGTAAATTATCAATTTGCAGTATAAACAATTTATAAACAATATAGTGTTTAAAGAATGCTACTTATATCTGTACCTGTTAAATATATATATGTATATATATATTTAACTTAAAAATAATATATGTTATATAAGTAAATGATATGTATTCTGTACGCGGTGTGCATGTATGAGTATATGTGTATATGAAATTGTACGAAGCAATAAATATTTTAAATATATAAATCTTATGAAAGTTTAAAAAAGAATGACCATGCGTACAATTATTAATAATTATTAACGAATGTAGACAAAATATAAAGAGTGGTTAATATAAGACTAATTTAATTATGAATACCATACAGGGTATTCGTATTTTACAAAAGAAAGTGGCAAATTTATATATACCATCAATATATAATTGTTCCGCTGCTTTTTTATATTCTGTGTTAATGATTTCATTAATTTCTGAATGTTTCTGTTCCAATTTCTGCAAACGTTGTTGCCAATAATTATCCTGTTTACGAAATTCTTGTTCATTCTGTTGCTGTATTTGAAGAGCGGTTAAAGTTAATTGTGGATGATATGTGGGATATCCAGCATTCGCTGGTATATCACCACTTTGAGGTAATTGTCGAGAAACAGTTCTTTTAGAAGACGGCTCCGCTAAAGTAGTAGATCTTACTTCACTTGCCACGTTAATATTTGTTTCAGGCACTTTTTGAGTTAAACGCTCCACAACGGATTCTGATATTTCTATTACACCTATTTCTTCGTTATTGATAGTAAGTTTACGAGTACTTTGTCCAGAACCCATATTGTCTGTTTAAATTTGTTTCTTGATAAACTCACAACAAATTACTTGCAAATCTTATTACCTCTGTCAGTAGAAATGTTTTGTCACCAATAATTAAATAAACTGTAAGACTGGTTACCTGAAACGCATGCAAGATTAATATAAATAAATAATTCTTTTTAACACTTTTTAAGCATATTAATACAATGGATTTTTTATGCAAATACAAGTATCATACTAATATTATACATCTGTAGTATGATCTGTACTAGCATTTAATTCGCAAACTAATAAAATTGAAAGCAATATCTCTTGATCACAATTTCAATATTACGTTTCTTATTGTTAAATGTCAAAAGTTCTGTTATACCAAAATAATATTTTATGAAAAAGGAAAATACATTTTTCACTACATTCTTCTTGTAATTCCTTTTTTTTTTTTTTTTTTTTTTTGTTAATATTTAGTCAAATCGCACACATACGTATATAAGAATTTTTATGTCCTTTTTTTGTTTTACTAACTGAATATTAACAGATTTGCGAGTAATGTCAATGCACGTATGACAGCAAATGTGCACGTATCCTTTATTTTTTACATACTTTAATTTGATTACTGCAATCGATAATATAGCAACTGCTTGCAAAACTATTATTATCTATTAATAAGATTACAACTATACCAAAATCTGGGAACACTGTATCGATTAAAATTAATGTTTTATTTATCATGAATAAGACATAACATTTACACAACCACTGTAATTATTTATATGCATATGATAAAGACAATTGGATTTAGATGTACATCAAAGATACGGTACCGTTCTATTGTTATTACAGTAATATGTTTAAATATACGTTGATCAGGAAAAAAATATGTAACATGTAACCTACACACATTGTATATACATACATGCATACATATGTATAGATAGGTATACATATACATACAATACAAAATTTTATCGTAAGGGTAAGTTCACAATTCTCACGCAAATTCGAATTTTGCTTTGTAACATAAGTATTTACTTAAATTATAGGTAAGAAGGCGATTCTTTTCAAAATATATATATGTTTAAGTGTTTTCATAAATGTATATTCACAAAAATATAATCATTTATTATAAAAATAATTATAGAGATCATAGGGAATCATATAGAATCATTATAAAGGAAAAAAGGAAAAAAGAAAAGTAAAGGGTAAGATATTCTATAAATACATTCTTGTATCCACAGGAGTCGCCTGTGCATTAAGTAACTTATAGTAATATCTGGAAGCAGAAATTAAAAATTACCTTGCATTTTCTTAAAATCTCTATAATATAATTTTAGTTTTATTTCATTCAAATATATAAATTAAAATTCGGGAATAAATATATAACCTACAAATTTCGCGATTGTTAGCAGAGAGCTTTCTGTTAAAAGTAACAACAGGTAACAGTAATAAAGCATACAAACATAATTTCTTTCTAATAAGATTTATCTGATTGATTCCTTATCTTGGCACAAGAATACTAAACTTTGATTTCATACTAAAAAGGTAATATCGATATTTCCTAACAATAACCGTTAATTTTTGAAACATTATTTCTTCACTCTTCCTCGTCTCTACCCCTCAGAATTCTCATGCATTGTGCATTGTATTTAAATGTTTGAATGCACGTGATATAAGATCTTTTATACTGTTTTTAACATGTATATTCGTGACGGTAATAGCCTTAGTTTTTAACCCGGACACCCAGCCCGTCGAGGCCATTGTACCTGTAATTTGTGGAATGTTTATATTAAGAATATGAGTTTTTAATTGCCAAATATACGTCACATGTATACAAGTATAGATATGACCATATATTTTTAATGGAATCTATAATATCATATAATGGAATGATAATATATATCAGATAATAAAATAATCTGAATCTATAGAAATATATCGTTGTATTACGATACATTAAAAAATATATTAATATATATGAATTATTAGCTAAATATTGACAAATCTGATGATAAGTCAGGATACATAAATACGCAGTTACAGAGATATGTAGTAAAATATTTCCTCCCTGCCAAAAGTATAGAAGAAAATTGAGTCGTGAAAAATCAACATGGAAAACAAGAAGATTTACATTCTGCGCGAAATGCTATAAATATCTGAAACAGAGACAGAGGCAGAGGCAGAGGCAGAGGCAGAGACAGAAACAGTCTACTGATCCTTTATCTATTTCGAAAAAAAGAGGACTTTGTTGTCTTCCATATTGATTTTTCACAAACTAATCTTAAAACGATTTTCCCTAGCAAAGTGTTTATGTGAGCATGATTAACAGGTCAGTTTGTTTTAAATGTATTAAAATAATAGTTTTTAAACGCTTACTATAAATAAATATATATAAGTATTGGTTAGAATGTATGTAATATGTTTAAAAATATAGAAATAGTCTAAACAAATGACATGTGTTGTTGACTATTTTTTTATTTTTAACTTTGGTTACACTGTTGTTAATTTTAATTTTTGTCATTATTATACATAAAGATGTTTAAAGATGTTATTATACGATAATAATTTTTGTTACAGTTGCGAAGGAAAAGAAAAGGAAAAAAGAAAAAAAAAGAGAAAAAAGAAAAAAAAAAGAAATAAATAGAAGGTAAATAGAAGGATAAGAATTAATATTTTATTAAGATAACGATATGGGCGGAATTTTGATTTAATGGGAACAAAATTATTGTCATTTTTCATTATAATAGTTTTAAATGGATAGAAACCAAAAATGTAAGTCTTGACTTTAGGAATCCAGCAGTGTAAATGTTACGAGTACGTAAAGTTGAGCGTTCTTAGCGTATTTTTGACAGCTTACTTTTTGACCAGTCATGTTGGCTTTTCTATCCACGATTCGTTCAGTGATTGGAGTCGCTGGCTATAACAGATACACGCGAGCGGCGACCAATTAGACGGGAAAAGTCAAATATTTTCGTTGAGATATATGCCCTTAAAACAGTAAAAATTAGAGCATGGAATTTGTAAGTGAGTACTGAATTAGGTTGGAGTTAGTCACAAGATTCCAGCCGCCTACGTTAATGTGTTAATTTATGTGTAAAGTTTATCTACAATGCGTGTCAATACTTTAATTACAGCCGGCGAAGGTACCCAGCGAAAAAAAAACGAAGGAGAATAAATGCTCATTTGTGCGTGTCAATCAGGTGATAGATAGAAGTAGCATTAAATGGCATTAAAATAAGCTGCTAAATACGTTAAAAACGCTTGACTTTACATACGTACAACTTTTGAATCGCTGGATTGTTGAAATTAAGATTTGCATTTTCAGATTCTATGCATCGAAAACTATTGGATTGTAATAAGAAAAGGCAGTAATTTTATTTTTACTCATAAAGATTTCAGTATTATAATATCTCGTATGTTATAGAGGTACCTACATATCTAATTAAATGATTTCTATTAAACATTTCTGTTCCTATGAATATAAAATTCTGACATATTTTCTATAAACATCTCTCGGTAAAAATATTTTTGATGGCGTTTATAAAAATTATCAACTGGAAAGATGAATATGCAGCATCTAAACGTTTTGTGATATTTTTAGATATTTACAGAAATTAAAGCAATATTTAATCATGAGTCTTCAGTGGTCTTTAATCGCTGGATTTCTGTATGTCGAAGTCATAATAGTTTTATTATTGGTGTTACCAATAATTTCGCCTACAAGATGGCAGAAGATTTTTAAATCCCAGTTTTTAAAAAGTTTAAGCGATAGAGCATCAATTTATTTCTTAATTTTGCTTGCGATATTAGTTGTGATTTTATTAGATGCTATTAGAGAAATGCGAAAGTATTCAACAGTTGTAGCTGTAGAGAGAGATCATCATCACGTCGATGCCGGATTGCAAGGTGTATATTCATATTTTTATCACATATGATATTATATCTATCTTGAATTTAGGATTTGATTCTGATTCTATTATTATTTTATACAGGTAGTATGAAACTATTCAGGGCGCAACGTAACTTTCATATATCTGGTTTTTCACTGTTCTTAAGTCTTGTTATACGTCGTCTTGTAATTTTAATCTCTAATCAAGCCGTTCTACTGGCACGAAGTGAAGCAGTTACGCGTCAAGCTGAATCGGCAACTACAACAGCGAAACATTTGTTGTTACAACAAAAAATTAGCGGAGAGACTGTTCAGAATGACTCGTCCGAAGCTCATGATAAAGTAACATTAGAATGGAAAGCTCAGATTAACGAATTACAAATAAAAAATCAAGAATTGGAAAATCAACTTGCGAGAGAAAAGAAAGATAAAGAAGCTATAAAGTCGCAAGCTGAATCCCTTGCCAAGGAATATGATCGGTTAAACGACGAATACAGCAAATGCGTCCAATCAACTAGCGATAAAAAAAGTGATTAAATTCCTTTTATTTCCTTCTTATACTCTGTTCTTCTATGTAAAAATTGCTTTCGACTGATATCTCATATTATAGAGTTTTGTCGCCCTGTATATCTATGTACTGTATAGATAATAAGATAAATAAGAATAAATTATTTAATATATAATTATATGTTAGAAATCTATGTATAATTAATTAACACATTGATATGTGTTATACAAACGCTTAAATATATTTACTTGATACCGTATTTTATTGGAAATATTGTTATAGTAACCATTTTTACATATAGCAGTAATATTTAAGTACGATTGGCTATTTCAACATACTTTATTAAAGTTTTACAATATAGTTTATCAAAATTTTAAATAATAAAATACCAAATACCAAATACAATTGCTCAATTCTTTTCTTTTTATATTTAACTTTGCTTCTCCTCATTTTTTTTTTTTACTTTTTCTGAACACTGAATACCAATCATATTAATGTTTATAGAAATTTCTGAAATACATATAAAGGTGAGAAGTGAAAGGCCTAATTCGAAAGTTTTACCTGTTTACTGCATTTCATGTGCACACATGTACATACATGTGTAAAGGAGCCGTGCATACACAAATGTATATATATATATATATATATATATATATATATATATATTTGTATATATTTGTGTGCGTGCGTGCGTGCGTGCGTGCGCGCGCGCGTGTGTGTGTGTGTGTATATAGGATGAAAAATAATTTCTGGATTATTCACCAGGAGTGCTAGTGTTGTTCCTATGTTCTAACCGAAGTCGTATATGTTATACTGTCCGTCTTTATTAACTTATTCATTGTTTATACAGTAAATGAGAAGTTAAGAAGGATGTCTCAGCCGAAAACAGGACCTCAAGATTTACCTCCTAAGGGAGGATATGCTCCTTTCGGTGTCAGTCGAACCAAGCTACGTACTATACTATCAGGTACAAACTAACCTATAACCTACATGTATTAGTTTATTATCTGATAGATTATTGGAATTTGACTCGGGATTTTTAAGGTAGTGATAGATTGAAATTAATAAATTTGAATATACTATTGTTTCTTTAAGTACTTGTGTATTTGAAATATCTGAAAAACGATATGTAAAATTATGAGAAAGTAAAATTAATGGAATTTAGTTAAAATATTAATTTACAAGAGCAAATCATGTGGCAAGTGTTATATAAAATTATAATGGTAGAACAAAGTATAATTAATTTTTAGGTCGTGCGGGTGTGGGGATATTTGTTGTTGTCAATGTCGTCTCATTTCCACTGTACTATAAAAATTGGTTAAGCGAGCGAATAAAAATGCTCGAAACGAAAAGTCGAGAACTAGCAACAGTGCCCATGTTGTTAGCAGAAAGAGATAGAGCGTAAGCATAACTGTCTTATAATGGATATCACGTAATTTGCCGTGAAAAAGATATCTTGTATAAGTTACGCTATTTGCTGGTAGAATTTCATAAACGTTAGCAATATAGTTTGCTATTGTCCTCATTTGCGTTTCATGTATTATACTATTTTTCTAATACATATTTATTAATTATATGAATGTATTGTGTATATATTTTTAAAAGATCTTTGCATTTAAAGCGAGAATAATTCTTTGTCACACAGGATCTTAAAACATCAGAAACGAATGAGAGAATTAGAGGCTGATGTAATGAAGGATTTCCCATTTTGGGAAGTGGGCACATTTTTTGGAGCACCGATATACGAAAGTGTTCCAGAAGATACATATATCGAACCAAATTTCGGTGAATGTTACACATATGCAGATCCTTTAGATTTTCCAATAATGCAGATCTCACATTTTCTAACGTAAACTTTGCATTATGAGGTTCTTTGCAGGTTCTTTATGTGGTTGAGGTTCTTTATGTAAGATAGTATGTTGTATTATATTAAATATAATTAATAAAGTCATATTAGAAATACAGGAAATTGTTGCGTACTTGTCTTGTATACCATAGCGAAAGCTGTTAAGATCGTAATCTTTATCATGCGATTATAGTAGAAATGGAGTAATTATTAATGGAGTAATTATCGATAAAAATTTCGAAGGTAGTTTACGAGAAATGAAATATTATTCGGGCGATTGCTTCGATCTATCGCGTAAAAGTTGTAAATCTTTATACATGTATTTCTTAGAAAAAAAAAAAAAAAAAAAAAAAAAAAAGGGAATATAGGAAGAGAGCTGAGGCTCTAATCCGGTAGATGCGATCATAAAAGATGACAAATTAATCCACTTAATTAGTTTCCTTTTTTTTTTTCAAACGAAAATTTGTCCGACAATCCGATCTTTGACTATACTCGTACGTGTTCTCGAATTATGGATACTAAAAATGCACGTATCGTGTAAGTACTTTGATATCGCATGCATAGCGGACTAGCAGTGATATATGAGGTACGTAAGTAATATAAGAGATACATATTCTCTTTTAGTGGAGAATTTACCACCAACCGGGTACTGCCACCTATCGGATCCGACCGAAATCGCAAGAAACTAACAGGAATATAGAACGTAGAAGAAGGTGTATCCCAGACGAGATCCTGTGTTGAACAAGGAGCGCACCACTGTGCGACAAGGACAGACACTACGTCTCTTTTTAATTCATCGAATTTTCGACAATTGTTCCGTTTCTGGGACAAAATGCCGCGCTTTTAGAATCGAAGAATGTAGGAGGGGGGATCTCTGAGAACGGTCTCGCGGCGATTTCGATCGGAATTTGCTCAATTAATGGCTAATTATTTGGTTTTTAATAATTATCCGCGGCGTTGCCTAGTCACCCAGGGCCCACGCCGCGAATTTTCACATAATTCTCGCTACAAGCAGTTAATTCGCGATCTTTCATGCACAAAGAATTTAGTACAGGATGCAAAGGATGCTTCTTCAATTGCTTGAGTAGAGTAAGGGAGAAGAGTAATTAAGGAATAATCGTGAAATTAGAGTGAGAAGTATGTGAGAAGTCTGTCATTGTCGCACAATATAGTCCGTCCTTGTCTAACAGGAGTTGAGATAGCTGCTCGCACATTCTATACTCCTGTTACTTTTCTGCAGTTGCAGCCGGATCCGATAGATGGCAGAGCACTCGACTGACTGGTCAGATGCTAGAAGAGAAGAAGAGTAGACGAATTGGTATTATTACAATTTTTATTGTTTTTTTGTAGGAGGATTTTTATGTAGGATGATTGTTAGTGAGAAGGGTAGCGTGCGTACACACGTGCAAAGTAGGTACTCACTGGTACTTACTGGTGGTAGTTTTGATTCTCGTTAGTGGAAAAGACTAATTGCGTAATTTTCTTTGTTAGACCGTCGGCTTTCTTGCTACCGGTGTACTTCGGGGAGATGTGTGTAACGATGCGTGTATTGGCGGGAAGATTGGCTGGAAGGGTGCGTTTGGAAAAGTTTGAACGAAAAGGAAAGGAAGGAATTAGAGTTTCGCATTGACAGGCAATTATTATCGTGGCAAATTGTAAGAAAGCTATCGTTGCAAAAATAATTCATTTATTGACAGGAAATAAAACTATATACACTTTGCAGGAAGAAAATTATATTTACAAGTATGTGGACTTATAGCGCGGCGAATTGATTCGGAGATATTTGAACGTATATCGAATTGCCGGCTGCTCGTTTCGACTATTCTACTCGACGATCGGTCGGTAGAAGGTGTATCTAGGTGGTGAAATTTGTCGTCGTTTTCTCGATACTGTCGATTGGTTCGGATCTAGTTGGAAACTGCGCAAACTATCGACCATTGGCTGTAATTTGTGCGCAAGTGGCGGGAAACGCTGGGAAATCGTTGTCTAGAAGGAGGAGTTTGCATAAAGATATAGATACCAAGTAGTTTTAAAGAATAAGAATAGGTACGGCAAGGATGGTAGATGGAAGAGAGATTTCTATCGGGGGGGATATCGGGTGGCTGGGAAAAGAGAGTGGATGGAGAAGGAAGGTTCGGTGGCTGCTAGAAATACACGTGCTCGGACGAGATGGTCGGACGGTTATATACGAGATGACGACGGTTCGCTTCGCAATCATTGGCAGTTTGCCTTTTGTTCTTTTGCATATGGTCAGCGGTTAAGTCGATGCAGAAATTGTCGAAAGCGTACGCGTTTGTCGTGATATTGCGATGCTTCTCCTCGGGGATCGAGGCAAATTTCTCGAGCGTGATATTATTAGGTCGAAGAGAGATGGTGGCTATTGGCTGAACATCGGCGGGCGGGTCTGTCGCGAGCTTCTTCGAGAATCCGTTTTCTATTTCGTCGAGGCTTCGACCTCTGGTCTCAGGGAGGATGGTGAGTGCGAATGCGGCTCCTAAGCTAGAAGCTACGGCGAACGTCCACATGAAGTACTCGATTCCAACTATCGGTTGCAGATTAGGATACATTTTGATGGTTGCGAACGTTAACATTTGTACGATACTGGTAGTGATGCCTCCTAAAGATCCTCTGAACCTTAGCGGATAGAGTTCGGAGGTCATGACCCATGGCAGAGTGAGAAATCCTATCATAGAGAAGCCTACGTGGCCTCCGATGCATGCCAAGGATACCACCGATGACAATTTGAACCTGAGAGGAAAATTGGATCGATTAATTTGATTAATTTGGATGGGATTCGTGTCAACGAAGGTGATTACGTAGAAAAAGGAACAGAGAGAGAGAGAGAGAGAGAGAGAGAGAGAGAGAGAGAGAGAGAGAGAGAGAGAGAGTGGACTAGAAGGAGGGAAACGTTTGCCTTCTCCAGCCTGGCTATTATCATCTATCGCCAAAGTTGAGCGATAATAAATAATATTACGCGAACGAAGAAGAATAGATTACGGGAGGAATCGCTCGTTTTATGGCTCCTATTACGCCTCTAAACTAGAATTACGTACGTATATAGTACAAACGGTCATCCACGCGTTAAATTCGACGTGGACTGTGCCGACGATTCGTCTGGCTAAAGCTCTACAGAGACGATAGAAAAGAAGAAGAGAAAGAGGAAGAGGAAGAGGAAGAGGAAGAGGAAGAGGAAGAGGAAGAGGAAGAGGAAGAGGAAGAGAAAAGTCGAGTTAATAACAAGCGGAAAAGATACGAACCTGTAGGAGAGAGCAACGCCTACGGCAGAGATCGCCATTCCTAAGCCACTGACGAAGGTTAGCGCTTTTCTGCCAAAGCTGTTGGCTAGACCAGCGCCGGCTATCGACGCGAACAACCTGATCACACCGATTCCAACGCTGGCGGAATACTCGTTCAGGTCGATACCGATATCCTCGAGGATGCTGACCGTGTAGAAGAGGATTATATAGATGCCCGACATTTGCTGGAGCGCGAAGAAAGCGCACAGCACGAGGAAAGGCTTCCACACGCTTGGCATGTGAAGAGCTTTCAACAGACTCTCTTTTCCCTCTTCTCTTTTCGCGTTTGCGTCGCAAAGTTCCTCGTACTCTTTGTCGGTGGTTAGGCCAGAGCCTCGTAGCCACAACAAGGATTCCTTCGCTTCCTCGTTTCGTCCTCGAGCGACTAGCCAACTCGGTGTTTCCGGAATCATACTGGTAAGTGGAAGAAGAAGAAGAAGAAAAAGAAGAAGAAGAAGAAGAAGAAGAAGAAGAAGAAGAAGAGAGAGAGAGAGAATAGATAGGAATAAAAGGAGTAAAACAGTTATTATTGGAATGAAAATAATTATTACCGTGTTAGCGCCAGCGAGAGTATGGCAGGTGCTATACTGATGGCAGCGGCATTTTCCCACGTGGTGAACGCTCCCAACGAGTAAATCATCAGGACACCGAGCGAAACTAAAACTGGGCCACAGCTTCCCAGCCAGGCTCTCTGGTTTGGTGCGGCGGCCTGTAATATTTTGTCACCGGTCGTCATACGTTAATTGTGATATTTCATCGGTACAAGCTGTTAATGTTACGTAATGTAACGAATCAAAGGGAGAAATACCTCGCTGACGTAAAGGTATAGGCCGTTTGCCATGCCCATGCCGATTCCACTAACGAATCTGCCCACGTATAACAGAGGCAAGTTTTTCGCCAACGCTATCAACAACCATCCAGCGACATGAGGCAAACTGGCCAACGCGATAGCCGATCTTCTTCCGAACCACTCGGCGCATAGTCCGGCGATTAACGAGCCCAAAGGATTAGAGACGACGCCTAGAGCAGCGATCCAAGACGTCTGATCGGCGTTCGCCAAGTGACTGGTCAACAGTTTCGGCACTAAAATCGCGCTGAATCCTTGACCAAGCCCCACGGATATTTGTCCAGAATGCGCCGCCAGGCTAGCGAATATCTAAAAGTACCGACACCTTTGAAAATACCACCTATGAAAATCAGGTTCGTCGCAGCAGAAATACGGCGCGGTAAAAAGCGCGGTGAACGATCCGTAGTACAGGTACGATCCGGCATCGGCTATCCATCGATTCGTATCTCGTATCGGTCGGTATCGGTTTCCGCGTTTCGACCGATATCGGGCTTGCGTGCGTCGCGCCCGATCCAACCTAAGAAACGCAAGGAAATGAATTGCGTTCGCGGTCGTCCCGAGCGCCAACGGACGCGGATTACGCAACGATGTGCAACGTCGCTCAACTGGCCTCGTTGAAACAAGCCGGCGCGCATCTTCTCCACCGATACGTCGAATCGCGATAATTACCGCAACAGATCGCGATCGTTCGACCGCATTGTCTCGTTACTCGCGTACACTCGTGTAACACCTGCCGGTGCCCTTTTGCTTTTTTCCGCTCGACGCTGCCTCTCTCGAGTCGCTCCGTCTCGCCGCTCGTGTCGTCCCGCGTGTCATTCTTCCTACGATATCTCTCGTCGCTGCTCGCTCCTTGCCGATCAACCGGGGATCCGCCGTTCTCAAACTAACGACTGTCATCGAAACTTTTCCAACCTGCCACGGTACCAACGAGATTCTATCGAGCGTTCATCAGATAACGATAAGACAAAGCGGAACGAAGATGTTTAGGAAGAGAGCTTCCTCCGATAGTTGCATCGCGAGTCGATCGCCGCATTCGCGTTTGCGCAGACCACCGCTTATCGATCTTTTACGGATAAATTATCGAAAATGATTCATCGACCATCGAATCGAACAGAGTTGCACGAAGGTGTAATTCCCTTACCGTTTTCTTCTGACCAGAGCATGCCACCTTCCACCACAGTTTCGCTCGAGTGATCATCGCGTCGCACGAATTTAATCTGTAACAGAGAAAGAGAGAGAGAGAGAGAGAGAGAGAGAGAGAGAGAGAGAGAGAGAGAGAGAGAGAGAGAGAGAGAGAGAGAGAGAGAGAGAGAGAGAGAGAGAGAGAGAGAGAGAGAGAGAGAGAGAGAGAGAGAGAGAGAGAGAGAGAGAGAGAGAGAGAGAGAGAGAGAGAGAGAGAGAGAGAGAGAGAGAGAGAGAGAGAGAGAGAGAGAGAGAGAGAGAGAGAGAGAGAGAGAGAGAGAGAGAGAGAGAGAGAGAGAGAGAGAGAGAGAGAGAGAGAGAGAGAGAGAGAGAGAGAGAGAGAGAGAGAGAGAGAGAGAGAGAGAGAGAGAGAGAGAGAGAGAGAGAGAGAGAGAAAGAGGAAGCAACTTTCTTAAAAGAAGCAAGTGGGAAATCTGAAACACGTAAATTCGTAAAAGCCGAAAGCTTTCAACGAGACTGTGTTTCGCAAGGGCCTTCGCCCTTTTCCATTGAATAATCACACCCGTTTAAAGCCTAAGCGATCGCTCTTAGAGCAACGATGTGTTTCGTGACTCACGGTCACGCGGTCACGGTGAGCGCGATTTTCTATCGCGTCTCTATCGCTTCTCGTGACAGATTCCCGCCATTTCTCTACTTTTTTCTATTTCCACGTTATCACGTTCCGCGATTAAACCGCTCTCTTCGAAATGGAGAATCGCGCGACCACCGTTTTCCGAGGAAATTTAACCAAATGGACGATCCCTCTATCGGATCCTTGCCTATCGATCGATGTAAGGTATACGAGTATAGTTACGAGTTTTATGTTTGTTCCACTATCGGATAATAGATCGTTGTTGCGAATGCCGCGGTGCTCTCTTTTCCTCGTTTCCCTGGTTCCCGTTTTCCCTAATAATTCACGCAAGGAACTGAAACGTCGCGATCCAACGATCACAGCGGAACGCTTGCAGAAAGCGCGCGTTGTGACCGGTCTCGTGCACATTCGCAAATACGTATAAAGATCGCTGACGTTCAACAGGAAAACCTGCGATGATACCGATTCTACGTGCAAGATTCGCGATAATGCTCGAAAATGATAGCAAGTACGACTGTTACGTTACGTGAGACGGATGGCGAGTTGCGCGACGGAAGCGGCACGATCGAATCGAATCGAACGGGATGGAATGGAAAATTTTACGGTTCCGGTCAGTTTTACAGCTCTTTTTCTTTCTACCTTTCTTTCTCTCATTCTCTCTCTCTCTCTCTCTCTCTCTCTCTCTCTCTCTCTCTCTCTCTCTCTCTCTCTCTCTCTCTCTCTCTCTCTCTCTCTCTCTCTCTCTCTCTCTCTCTCTCTCTCTCTCTCTCTCTCTCTCTCTCTCTCTCTCTCTCTCTCTCTCTCTCTCTCTCTCTCTCTCTCTCTCTCTCTCTCTCTCTCTCTCTCTCTCTCTCTCTCTCTCTCTCTCTCTCTCTCTCTCTCTCTCTCTCTCTCTCTCTCTCTCTCTCTCTCTCTCTCTCTCTCTCTCTCTCTCTCTCTCTCTCTCTCTCTCTCTCTCTCTCTCTCTCTCTCTCTCTCTCTCTCTCTCTCTCTCTCTCTCTCTCTCTCTCTCTCTCTCTCTCTCTCTCTCTCTCTCTCTCTCTCTCTCTCTCTCTCTCTCTCTCTCTCTCTCTCTCTCTCTCTCTCTCTCTCTCTCTCTCTGTCTTTTTTTCTTCCTCGCTGAATTCTCGAAACAAACGGTCGTTTATTCTTCCTACTGGCGAACATGTTTTCGCAAGTGTAACGTACAATACTGGGCAATCGTGACGGTGGAACCGCTGCTTAAATAAATACGCTACTTGTTGCATTTCGTCCAACCTGTCGATGCCTCTATATTGATTTAATCGCGACGCTGGTGCACGCGGACGCAATAAAAATTTATTATCGCGTTTGCACGCTAACTACCTTTCGTTGATGCTTTTTCAAGCGACTTTGACGAACGAGTGGCCATCGACGCTGTTCCTTCCCGTTAAATACCGATCGATCGTCATCGTTATCGTTAATTTGTCGCAGAATAGAAAAACGATTCGTTAACGCCAAAAAAAAAAAAAAAAAAAAAAAAAAAAAAAAAACAAAAAAAATACATAAAAAAAAAAGGACGCATTAACGGCGTTAACGTAACCGCCAGCCGTAATACAACCAGCTACCTGTGTACGTACAATGGTACGATACATACTGGCAAGCATGCACGTGCACGTATACAGCGATTTCAAGCGACAGGTAACGCGCGTCTTCTTTTTATTCTCGATACGCGATCCGTTTTGAAATCGGACCGAGTTATACCGAATTATTGCAAATTTGTGAACGACCACGCACAACGATCCACGCAACGATATCGCAACGATCCACGATAAGATACATCGTACGATATTTAGTTACCTAATCTGTTACTTATTAGCTAATGTAATACTCGAAAAGAGCAACTTTAAGATAGCTAAGATTGATGTAAGGAGATACTAACCTTTGATATATATTAATAAGTATATATATTAATAAGTTGTAAATATTGAACGTAGGACGTGACAAGCCGAGTTCAAGTTTCCCTCCTTTTCGTTCAATTTCGATTATGTTGCGTGCCCCGGTGATGATAGTAGGTAGCACGTTCGATCCAATGGCCCATTCCTCGCTCGACAAACGATTTACAACGCGTTCGGAGAGTAGAATGCGAGCAGAACGCGGATTCTCACGGTAACCTCGTATCACGCCGATCGTCAGCTCAAGGATCGTAAATCACTTTTATCGGCGGCAGTTCTCTGTCTCGGTGCAAGGATGTTCCGCTACTGGATTTCGCCACTGCGAATCCTGTGTCCTATAAATATAAGATGCTGTGAAACCGCGGTCACGATCCAGCACGGCGACGACGGAACACGTAGATGCACC